ATCTCACTCATTTGTGGAATATAATGAACATCATAAACTGATGAACAAGGACTGATCCAGAGATGGAGAGGCATTGATTGGACTGTCGGGCCTTGGAGGGAAGGTAGGGGAGGGTGGGGGTAAGGGGGAAAGATCAACCAAAGGACTTACATGCAAGCATGTAGGTCTAGCCAATGGACACGGACAGCGGGGGGTGGGGGCATGAGCGGGGGGGGGGGGGTAGGGGGTAACGTGGGTATAAGGACACATATGTAATATCTTAATCAATAAAAAAAATATATTAAAAAATAAAAAAAAAAGACACATTCAGAGTGAAAATTCAAATGTCACAGGAATGTTTAAGTTAGAACATCCTTTTAGAGATAACTAGTATCAAGTTTAATGCGTCTTCTTCCAGATTTTTCTCTATAAAAATGATCATGTTATTATCGTCTCTATAAATAGAATCATATTATACAGACTGTTCTGAAACTTACTTCTTTTTCACATGACACCAGGGACTTCTTGCCATGCAGACGTGCGTTTCTAATTCGTTGGTCTTACTCTGCCTCATTCTTTTTCTTTTTAAAAAAAATAATTCTGGGTTTATTTGTTTTTTGTGTGTAAAATATATTTGTATTGATTTCAGAGAGGAAGGGAGAGGAAGAGAGAGATAGAAACATCAATGATGAGAGGGAATCATTGATTGGCTGCCTCCTGCATGCCCCCCACTAGGGACAAGCCAGCAACCCAGGCATGTGCCCTGACCAGAACACACCAGTCAGGCTCTGCCTCGTTCTTTTTCTTCTTCTTCTTCTTCTTTTTTCTCTCCGTAGAGACCATTAAAAAATTGACAGTGCTGACTATATTTCACGTTGTCATGGTGGAGTATTGGGAAAGTTTTCAATTAGCAATAATTGCACCTTGGATAAACCTCATTGGCTACGGTACTGCTACTGTGCAAAGCTCTGCCCTATTCTTTATCTCAGTGGTGTTTGGTCTTTTAGAGCTCAGAGCCTCTTCGAGCGTTAGATGAATGGCAATTACACATAGGCACATCACCCAAATATTTGTATACTAGGGGCCCAGTGCACGAATTCGTGCACCTTGAAAGGAACTGTGGACTGTGAGGCTGCGGTGGGCACAGAGGCAGGTCTCGGCCCATCCTCCACGCCCTACCTGGTCCCTGCCGCCGTGGCCCCTATCTGCCAGCATTGGGGCTGGCGCCAGCAGTGGGTGCAATCAGGGCCAGAGCTGTCAGCGGGTGGGAGTGGTGGCTGCTGCCCCAATTGCCCCTCAGGAGCAGGGAGAGGTAGAGAAGCCCCCAGGGGTGATCAGGGCCCGAAGCCGCCGCTTGCACCCACTGATGGCACCAAGTGATCGGGACTGGCACCGGGCAAAGAATTTTCAGTAACCACCAGAGGCTCACCCCGATGACAGCAACCGGCACCCCGCCTTGGTCTGGCGCCCCCACTCACCTGCTCCACCATCCCACCTCGGCCAACACCTGCCATGTTCCGCACATGCCCCCTGGTGGTCAGCACACGTCATAGTGACCAGTTGTTCGGTTGTTCTGGTTGTTCCACCATTTGGTCTATTTGCATATTAGCTTTTTATTATATAGGGTGACTTTGGGTATCAGAGCCTTCCTGAGGTTGATCTGACCCCTTCACCCTGGGCGGGGGCGGGGGTGGGGGGAGGACCACTGAAATGAGTCCAGAGAGTGGAAGATTGCGAACGAGACTGGCTTATTGTTGGGATGGGAAGACCCATCTGGGGAGCCTCTGTCAAAGGTCTTGGGTCGCTGCCTCCTGTGAGACCCTCTGCCTGTCGGAGCTCCCATCCCTGGGCTCCTCCTCAGCCAGGGGCTCCCCTCCTCGCAGCCTCCAGATCACGTGACTCCAGCGGCTGCCAACCCCCTGGGCAATGCCAAGAGCCTCCTGGCCTCAAACGGGTTGGGTGACATTCACTTCCTGGCGCTGTCCTCCCGGCCTGCTCAGTCCTCAGGAATGCCTCGGCGGCAGCTGTCACAGTGACAGCAGCAGGAGGACGTGCTGCCTGCCGGCACCTCTGGGCGCAGGATCTGCCTACAGAGGCCCCGGGAAAGTGGCTGCTGCTCCTCCTGGCTTCGGCCACAGTGAGTCTGGGGACCCAGCGCAGGGTTGGGGGGGTGGGGGGGTCGATGCGGGGGGTGGGGGGGTGGAGGAGCAGGATCCAGGCGGGAGGTTGGCAAGGGTCCTGACCCAACTGGAGTGATGCAGGGTGTGGGAGTGAGTGTGTGTGTGTGTGTGTGTGTGTGTCAGTGTCTTGGGATGGGAAGTGTCATAGCTGAAACTATAGGCCTCTGCCTCACAGGCTCACCGTCCCCAGGTGGGGAGGAGGGGGTCCGGGGGCTGA